AAAAAAAAGAAAAAATTGCATAAACAAATCAGTTTACAAGTTTTCACTGTGGATCACAAAGAGAAGAAATCAAAGCCATGCTAGAGCCATGGGAAGAGAAAGTTCAGTAAAGGAGGAACAGAAGGAGGAGTGGGGGAAGGAGTGAGAGATACACAAAAAAGGAAAACAAAACGCAAATAAAATGAACACCTTAAAAAGTAATCTATAAGGATATTTTGAAAATTCTCTGTGTTTGAAAAGAGGTGAAAGAGAAATCTAAAGAAAGGAAGAGAAAAAATTTCAACTGGGATAATTGTGCGTCAGCGCAGCATCATTGTATACCCTATTTCTACCTAACAATAAGAAACCATATTAGACATTTCTCTGCTTCAAATTGAAGAATGTATGAAGGAGAAAAAGTACAAAAAAATCACATACGAAAAGGTTCTCTGCAACCAATTACAAATGCGTATTTTGGCTCCAGACCATGAAGAAAAAAATCAATAAATTGATCCGCACAGTAGATCAGAAATCGTATTGCGAGGCGGAGAGAGAGAGCCAGAGAGAAGGGGGGAGATAATGTACAATAGTATTAGCTAAACACTGGCTTTAGCGTGGAGATCATCGGCCATCTGTATGGGACCCGTGGTGAAGCTGTGCAGAAGGCGAAGTGACTGAAATCGACGTTGTTGGTGGAGCCGTCGCAGTTACGGTAGCACCGGCAGTGGTTACGGTGGAAGCTACGGTGCTGGAAGCAGCAGCAGTAGTTGGCGGAGGAGTAACCGGAGCAGCTGAAACGGCTACAGGACTTCTAGCAGCACTTGTAGAGCCTGTGGGTGAATGGCTCGAAGATGGACTAGCAGAATGAGTTTCCGATGAGAATGAGCCTGAAAGTATCACTTAGAGGTATTGATTTATCGATTGGCCATTACACACTTTGATATAGTCTTATTGATTGGTAAGTATACTTGTTGAAGATGGCATGTCACACAAACAGAAAAACAACAAGCAACGGCCGTATTGGCAAGGCCGTACGGCTAGCGATGGGTAATTGTAGCCGTTTAAATTTTCGCCGTCATCGTCTGAGCTGGCATAATTTGAAGGGTAATGAGATGTTCTCAGCAAGATTACCACATCAAACACAAGGTAATTAGACGTTGACGCAGAAAATTTATTTCTCGAAATCTGGGTTGGAAAATCGTCTAAACTCCTCCTTCTGACAATGGATTACCATAATTTCGTCGTAACATGCATGAGAGTAGTCATGGGATGTTGACTACTTTCAACATTTCCAAATTTCAAAAGTGGTAGAAAGGAGCGCGCACTATAAAAATTGGTCAATATGCTACCAATGTCTTTGCAAGATTGCATATTGAAAAAACCACCAAAATTGATTGCTTTTGTCTTTTTCAAACTAAGCCAAGATTTTCAGGACTTTGTCCGCTCCAATCTTATCAGTCCTACTTATTAGTCGCGCCGCCACTTGTTACAGCGTCAAAGTTCACAGCGTAAGCGCTCCACCATTAGCACACCCTAAATCATGCCTTATCAGCTCCAATCACAACTATAATTGTAAAAATCTATGCAGAAGCAGCAAGAGCAACAGCAGTATGACAATACCAGCAGTCACTACGATGACATGATGTCTGTTCATTATGCACACTTGCAACATTCGCAGCTCTTTTTGGCAGCAAACTTCAATGACTTCAATCCGTTGTCACTACCATAAAGAAAAAATCTGATATCACCGACAACTAGCGACAGGACAGTTTTACAGCTAACAGCAGTCAATTTATGACCGG